CCCCCTCCGGGGTCCGGTGACCTTTGGGGACATTTGATTGGTTCACGAGTTGTGTTTCACCGTCACTCTCTGACCTGTAGCTCTGACTCTGCACGCTGACTGTCTGTCTGTTTTGCTCTTCATGTTTCTGTGGAATGGATACAATGTGATCAGAACCGGAAACACATGTCAGTGAAGGTGAAGTTTGTTCTGATTATGTTTTGCCTGTTTATGGGCATGCTGGGACTTGTGGTACGTTGTCAGCCTGAGGCCGCTGTCTGTGATGTCACATGTCACCGATTTTCCCATGAATCATCGGGGTGGTTCCATAATGATACATTGTATATTGTGAGCGTTACACCGAGCCGTCAGAGAATTGCAGAACCGGTCCGACGGGTACAGATCTCCGATGTCTCTCTAAATCTCCGACGACCTATAATAACTCTGCGCGCCCGGAGTGTGACATCATACAATGAGCGCAGCGACCCCGGAGTGTGACATCATACAAGGAACGCAGCGACCCCGGAGTGTGACATCATACAATGAGCGCAGCGGCCCCGGAGTGTGACATCATACAAGGAACGCAGCGACCCCAGAGTGTGACATCATACAAGGAACGCAGCGACCCCAGAGTGTGACATCATACAATGAGCGCAGCGACCCCAGAGTGTGACATCATACAATGAGCGCAGCGACCCCAGAGTGTGACATCATACAAGGAACGCAGCGACCCCGGAGTGTGACATCATACAAGGAACGCAGCGACCCCACAGTCACCTGACCACTTTTTGAGCCGGCTCACTTTTTAGTGGGGCAGGAGGGGGTGTGGCGGGCCATTGAAGTGAACGGCACCGTAGCCACGCCCTCTGGCCGCAATGCGATCACCCGCACGTGATCGCAAGGCACATTGCCGCACGCCACGCTCCCTCCTGCCCCACTAAAACAGTGAGCCGGCCGCAATGCGAGGCAGTGCGTCCCGGCCAGAATGGGGCCGGAACGCACTGCAACTGGTGTGAACGGGCCCTCAGAGGAACATTACAAGCCAATAAACAATCATTTATGGAGAAATGCCGCAAGTGAGCATTTGAAGTACGAGATTTCTTTGCGGCTTTTACCTGCAGATTTTTCTCCCTGGGCCCTTTAAGAAGACATTTTCATGGTCCGTATTGCAGCAATCTTGTGATGTCACCGGCTGTCGGTGTCACAGGCGATTAGGAGTGACATCACGCCCCCCCTCGGCAGGGTAAACACCGGCACCCCCCTGGATGCGTCAGGGGGCATTGAGCCGCTTCTCACCACGGAGCCCAAATAGCTGCAGACAGGAACTCCGCTCAGAAAGGGAATTGTACGATGTGACGCAACGCATCACATCTCCTCCCGAGTCCTCGGCTCAGCCAGCAGAATAAACTTCACCTTCGGGCTTCACAAAGATTCTCCACCTTCCATTTGGCCTCATTCCTTTTCATTTAGCTGAGGGCCACAGAGGTGGAGTCTAAGGGCCACATGTGCCTTGTCACACCCTTCATCGAAAATTGCTGTATAATTTGCCTCTCCTAAGGCTGAGCTGCGGCACAAATACATTTAGTTATATATATTCCTCAGGATATAAATCCCCCAAATTCCTTTAAAAACCCAGAAATTACCTTGTAAATGTAGCAGTGACACCATCAGTGGGCGGGGCATAGACTGTGCAGAGGGGGGAGCTGTGGGAGGGGCCCAGCGGGCCACGCCCATTACAGAAAACCGCAGTATATGTCAGAGAGATATATATACCTGTATAATAATACAGAGGGGATAGAAAAGAATCCCCCCCACCTGCCCCCGCCCCTTTAAAATAATCACATGTTGTTGCATTGCAGCCTTAAATGAAGACAGGCACAGTTGTTGTTTTATCCAGCTGTATTTACTCTGTGCAACTTATAACGTCCAAGTGAAAGATAGAACAGCAGCATGTCAGAAAACCAGAATCACTCCCCCCCCGGGATTTGACTCTACTCACTTTGCAGTATTCTCCCGCTCTTCTTCTTTGCAGGAGTGCTCAGGTCCAGTGACATTGGATGGTGTGGTGTGCACTGCAGTCTTCAAGATTTTCATTGGGGTTTAGGTCTGGGCTCTGACTAGGCCATGCAAGGACATTCCCCTTTCTCTCCTTCCACCAACTGTGTGGTCATATTTGCTGTGTGCTCCGTGTCATTGTCATGTTGGGGGGGCAAATCTTCTTCCCAGTGACAACTTTCTGGCAGAGGGGAGCAGATTTTTCTCAAGAACTTGATGGTATTTTTGCCCCATCCATTTCTCCTTCTATTACCCCTAACAAAAAATTACCCCCCCTCCATACCCACTGCCTGGTCTATACATATCCTGCATTTCACTGTATGGAGTATATTCTGTATCTGTCATAGGTGATGATTCTCAGACAAAGCTAAATAGAATGACTTCTTGGTTTTGTTGCCCTCACTGCCCCTGATGTCCATGTACTGCTCTGGTTGGGGAAGGAGGAGGATTCCTGACCAGCAGACAAGGAAGGCCGAGCTGTCATATCAGTTTGGTATTTTCAATGCCGCAGCCTCATGCAGCGGGCTGGGCCGGACTCTTCACACCGGCACCTAACAAAGTTGAATGCACAGTATTTTACGCTCAGGACGTCTGTTTCACCTCAGATCCGCTTTAACCCTTTGTTTTCTAATTTTTCAGCCCACAAGGTCATCTTCTGAAAGTGTCTATTCCCGGGCTGGATCCAGTATACCGGGCTCCCCGGGTCACACCATCTGTGTAAGTAGTTTGTTATTGTCCATCTGAGACACATCGAGAGCAGGCTAATTAATTGGCCCTACACTCGCCAATTAAATTCCAGCCAACGACAGATCTGTGTAAGATGGATTCCAGGTTCTTGGGGTTTTCTATTTACCTGATTTAATATATCAGCAATCTGTATTTATTGAACTAACCAGCAAAGAGCAGTGACCCGTAGCAACCAGCCCAGACATTGCCTGGCATTGTTATCTGCCTATTGAAAGGCAAGTTTGGATGTTGCTGGGGAAGCCGGGAAAGGGGGGCGGAGGGGTAGCATCTCTTCTGCATTATCTTTACCCTTTTACCTGCTTAATCAATAATAATAATTCAGAAAGCATAAATAAACAAAACTGAGAACAATGTTCTATAAAGCCATCCACAACTGCGCCCCCGGATATATCTCAGACCTTGTCTCAAAGTATCACCCTAAATGTCCCCTCCGCTCATCCATTGACCTCCTGCTTTCCAGGACTTCTCTAGAGTCTCTCCCATCCTCTGGAACTCCTTACCCCAACCTGTCCATCTATCTCCCACCTTGACTGCCTTTAGGCGTTCCCTAAAGACTCATCTCTTCAGGGAAGCCTATCCCACCTCAACCTAACCACTGAACCTTCACATTCTCACATAATTTATTCCCACAGCTACCTCATGTATCATTTCCCCCTCCCCTTTTAGATTGTAAGCCCTCAGGGTTTAACCCTTTGTTTTCTAATTTTTCAGCCCACAAGGTCATCTTCTGAAAGTGTCTATTCCCGGGCTGGATCCAGTATACCGGGCTCCCCGGGTCACACCATCTGTGTAAGTAGTTTGTTATTGTCCATCTGAGACACATCGAGAGCAGGCTAATTAATTGGCCCTACACTCGCCAATTAAATTCCAGCCAACGACAGATCTGTGTAAGATGGATTCCAGGTTCTTGGGGTTTTCTATTTACCTGATTTAATATATCAGCAATCTGTATTTATTGAACTAACCAGCAAAGAGCAGTGACCCGTAGCAACCAGCCCAGACATTGCCTGGCATTGTTATCTGCCTATTGAAAGGCAAGTTTGGATGTTGCTGGGGAAGCCGGGAAAGGGGGGCGGAGGGGTAGCATCTCTTCTGCATTATCTTTACCCTTTTACCTGCTTAATCAATAATAATAATTCAGAAAGCATAAATAAACAAAACTGAGAACAATGTTCTATAAAGCCATCCACAACTGCGCCCCCGGATATATCTCAGACCTTGTCTCAAAGTATCACCCTAAATGTCCCCTCCGCTCATCCATTGACCTCCTGCTTTCCAGGACTTCTCTAGAGTCTCTCCCATCCTCTGGAACTCCTTACCCCAACCTGTCCATCTATCTCCCACCTTGACTGCCTTTAGGCGTTCCCTAAAGACTCATCTCTTCAGGGAAGCCTATCCCACCTCAACCTAACCACTGAACCTTCACATTCTCACATAATTTATTCCCACAGCTACCTCATGTATCATTTCCCCCTCCCCTTTTAGATTGTAAGCCCTCAGGGGCAGGGCCCTCCTTACCATCTTCTCTTGAATTGTATTGTAACTGTAATGTCTTCCTTATATTGTAAAGCGCTGCGCAAACTGTTAGCGCTATATAAATACTATGTAATAATAATAATGTAGTTTATACCCATTTGATCACATGACTTTTACTACATCGGCCCAAAGTGATCTTATGACATCACTCCAGCACCGGTTTTCACTGCATTGGCTCTGAAGGATCAGATGACATCATCACACTATCAGCTTTCAATGCATTCAATGCATTGGCCCAAAGTGATCACATGACATCGTCACACCACCAGTTTTTATTACTTTGGCTCTGAAGGATCCTATGACATCATGGGTGTCCCTAGCGTTTTCGTCACCTGAGGCAGAGGGGTGGTGTTTGCTGGTGGTGCATGTTCTGGAGAAAGGGGATTGTGCTAACGGGGAGGGGGCGTCATCATCCAGCTCTAGCATTGGCTGGTGTCCTGCCCAGCTCACTGATGTAAATGGTTGCCAGGAGCTGTGTGAGACACCGGCCAGAGCGTCCCGGGTTGCTAAGAGCTGGGTCCTTACACATCTCCCCGCCCTGCTGTTAGCTACCTCGGATGTTCTGATCAAAAAGAGGGCGGCAGGCACACTGCAAACATTGTGCAGCAGATCTGTCATTGGACTTTGCCTGCACATGACCCGAGGCAACAACCTCAGGCTGCCTGATTATCGGGACGGCCCTGCATGACATCACACTGCCAGTTTTCACTGCTTTGACTCTGAAGGATCGTAGGGCAGACATGTTTAACCCTACAGCAATGCTCTCTGTCTCTCCAGGCTAGAGTGGATGACGAAATCCTGGATTACAAGGACCTCGCCGCCATCCCCAAAGTGAAAGCCATCTACGACATCGAACGCCCCGACCTCATCACCTATGAATCCTTCTATACGTCCACTTATGAAGACCGCCAAGAGAGGCAGAGCGTGGGTGAGGTATGTGGGCACTTCCATTACCAGTGTATAGCAGAGAAATTACCTCAAACTTGAGAAGCCACAAATCAATAGAACCAAATTGTGTAGCATCCCCCCCT